CCAGCTTGAAACCACACCTGGAACAATGGTCCAGGCTACAGCAGGCGGCCCAAAGGGAGAGGCAGCGCCATGACCCTTGGGGCTCCAGTCTGTGTGCAAGAGCCACAGCCCCATGGCACAGCTCGGACGAAGGCCCGCGGCTCCACTGCCAAGTGGGGAGCCCTTCCTGATGGTCGTGCCTCCTCCCTCCTGGCCACGGCTGTCCTCCTCCCCCCGGGTCAGGCTCAGCACATATGGATGTGCACCCTGTCCACCTCCAAGATGGGGCATGAGGTGCCCTGTGTCCTCATTCAGGTTCCCTCCCACCCCACCTCTCTGCCTTGTCCCCAAGCACTTTCCAGGCCATTGTCTCATGATGAATAGCACTTTAATGTGGGTATGAAAAAATATGGGCAAATGTATAATACTTGCAAGCTGTGTTCCATTATTGACGCTATGCTTGAGAGCCAGGCAGGCTGCTCAAGCCGGGCTGGGGCTCAACAGAGAAGTGATGACGCAGCAGCCCTGCGAGGCAGCCATCTGCCAGGCCTCTACCCAGCAGGGATGGGCACCAGAGAAACAGTGTTGAAGAGAAACTTGGGCTCTGAAGCTGGCTCTTCCAGCTCTGAATCTCCATTCCCCCTTCCCTGGTTARCTTTGTGAGTGATGGTGTGGGTCCTTTCTGAACTTCAGACTCCTCTTCAGGGGGGTATTAATCCTATAACCTCTGTGCCTGCCCAGGTTGTGTGAGGAGTCAGCAAGAAGCCACAGGAGGGGCTCAGAAGCCAGGGCCAGGCACATGGAAACTGAGGCTGCCTGGGCAGATCCCGTCATGGATTTATGGTTGCAATGAAAAGTGGACCCCCCTTCTTCCTTCCCCACTTCTTGACCCCAGAGTAGATACTGGCATCCTGCTGTGACCTCAGAGCTCTCCAAGACAGGGTCCAGCTGAAGGACCCAGATTCAGCCTCCCCTCTGCCCTGGGCACCCAGGACAGGGCCGTGTACCTGGTGATGACCCAGAACAGAATAGGAGCTGCTGTTCCCGGCCATCACTGCCTGGCTGGGTCCCGGGAGGTTCACATGGCACGTGTCGTCTATTCACGATGCCCTGACTTAGCTAAAACCGTCACTATTATTCCTCTCCTTGAGGTTTTGTGAATGCAGCCTGGGAGATTCCGTGTCCCCAAACCAAGAATGTCTTTGGGTGAAGCAAGTTTGGCCCCCATCTTTGCTCTCTTCCCCTTGCCACAGCCACAGGACTGGCACTGCCAGAAACAGAGCCCTGGGAGCCATGACCCCCAAGGAGCCCTTCCTGGTTCTGCCCAGCACCCTCCTGGGGCCAGGGTAGCAGCGAATGTCCAGAGCATGCTGGAGGGCTCCCCAGCACTGTGCGCTCTGGTGCCTGTTCCTAGCTCTCCCTCCCCTCTGCAGTCTTGTCTCCAGCGGGGGACTCCTGACAAGGAGGTGCTGATTGGAGTGTGGATAGCGTGCCCCAAAGGGCCACATGTTAAAGACTTGGTCCTCGGAGTGGTGCTGCTGGGAGTTGCTATGAGCCTTCAGGAGGTGGGGCCTTCTGGGAGGTTCTTAGGTCACTGGGGACATGACCTTGAAGGGGATTGTGAGACTTCTCTCCTCAGTGCCTCTGCTTTCTGCCTTCTCATGTAAGTGGTCTGCTCCACTATGTGCTCCCACCATGATGTGCCCCCCTCACCAGAGGCCCTGGCCTGGTGGGCATGAGGGCGAAAGTGTGATATCAGGGCAGTGTGCAGGAACTTGACAGAGGTGAGCAGAGAGAACATGCTGGAATGGAGTCTAGCATGAAGACTCTAAGCAAGATGAGCAAGGTCCCTTTGTTCAGTGACACCTAACAGTGATGATGGAGTGGCTGTCGGACACCAGGCCCTCTTGGTTTGAGGCTCACGCGGGTCACAGACAAGGCCCTGCCTTTGCAACTCATATTCTAGTGAGTGAGACAGGAACCCAGCAAACAAGGACACCAACATGACGTAGTGATTGACACTCTGAAAGACATTGGTCCCATTCTTAGAARGGGCTGGTGGGAGGACAGGGCACATCAGAGTGGCCTCCCCAGGACCCAGGGTGGAGCTGAGACCCTGGTCACAGTAGGGAGCCARCCATGGGCCAGACCATGGGAGAGCCTTTTTGCACAGCAGGCAAAGTGAGACCCGGAACAGAAGAAAAGCCCGAGAGGCTGGGACATCCCTAGTGAAGGACAGGACGAGCCGGGCTCTGTGTTAGATCCAGGAGGAAGCCCCTGACGAGGCTAGAGCAAGGGTGGGCCTGGCATCCCATAGGATGGCCCCAGCTGGTGTGGGGAGGGTGAGAGGAATAGCAGGAGAGAGACCCAGCAAGACGTGGCTGGCAGTTGCCCTGGTGCGATGGTAGCTAAGATGGGACCRGGAGGCYGAGGCAGGAGGTGCTCTGAAGGTGAGGCTCCTGGACCTAATGGCCTGATGACGGGGCTGGGTGAGGGAGGAAGGCTCCTTGGTTTGGGCTTGAGCAGCTGAGTGAGCAGTGATGTCGTTACTGAGACAGGAAGGGAGTGTCCAGGGACACCAGGAATGGGGTTGTGGTCCTACAAAGTTTGAAATGCCTTGTAGATGGCTGAGCAGGGCCATCCCCCTGACAAGTGCTGTCCCACCCAGAGCTCAGCAGGGCTGGGGCCAGGGCAGCCCTGATCGCCGGGCAACTCCGAACATATCCAGAATCCCATCAGGACCACTGGGAGAGGCAGACCAGAGGCCAGCAGAGGGACACCCCAGCCTCAGAGGAAGGGAAGCAGTCAGGCGAGAGGAAAACCAGGAGAGGGAAGTGTCACCAGCAACAAAAGAAAAGTGCTTCCGGAAAACATCCCTGATCTGTAACGTGTCCCTTTCCCTAGGTGCTCTGGGACACCAGGAGACCTTGGCACCCGCCTCTCCTCACCAATCCTCTTGTCCCTCCTCCCCTCAGAAACTCAGGACTCATCCTCACATGAGAGGCCACCCCTGCCCTCCAGCTGCTGCAGGTCCCTGCTGGGCTGGGCCAGCCTGAGGTTCCTGGAGAGCGCTGCCTGGCAGCAGCTCAGCTGCTAGCCTCTGTCATGGAGACGGTAGCAGCTGCAGGCGACGGGCATTTGCSACCATTTGTCAGAACACTCCCCTTCCACCCCGGCCTGCCCTTCTGGAACATTTCTGTCCCACAGCCTTGGAGACAGGACTCGTCTAGGGGTGGGAGCATGAAGAGGGGACAGGAAGTACTGTCCCAAGTCGTAAGGAAGGAGGCCGGCTGTCACCTCCACACTGGGGGCCCTGGCCCCTGTGTGCCCATGCTGAACACTGGCATCTCACATGACATGTCTGACCACTAAGTATTTCCCCCACTTTACAGGCAAGCATTGCCCCACTTAAAAGTTGACATTGCTGCGCAGAGACATTGAGGTCACACAGCTGATGGCTGGAGCCATCAGGCTCCAAAGCCTGTACCCACCCCCTAGAGCTAGGAGAGCCACCCAGGCCAGTGTGTGAGTCAGAGATGAAGTGGCCCCTGGTCCATTTGTCCACTTCCCCCCCACCCCCACACCACCCAGCTCCTCTGTGCCTCCTCGGCCTTGGTTGGGTTTCTCTCATGGTCTCTTGCCCAAGCCTGTGGCTTCCAGCTGGGGCTAGGCTGCCGACGGCCTGCCCACTGTTTGCTCTTCGTGCTTTGTCCTCTCCATTACCAAATGCTCGGGGACTTTTCCCGGTTTGGGGGTGGGGCTGAATCTTCTCCAGCCTGGTCCCAAAGCCATGGCTGGTATTCAGAGGGAACAGGAAACCAGTTCCTGATAATGCTCCCAGAGCTCCAGATGAGCTGACTGCCTGGGAGGAAGTGGACATGTTTCGGGCATGTTGCCTCAAAATGTGGTTCTTGTTGTTCGGCACGCAGGACCCTGAGGCCTTAACCCCTTGTCTGGTGTCTGGTGTGTGATGTTGCTATCCTGGGGCAGTGACTAGGAGTCAGGCAGATGATGACAGCACCAGATGGGAGACTGTGAGGGCAAGGTGCCATGGGCCATCAGTCCACACCAACAAAAAACACCATGCCACCCACCCACCCTCTCTCCAGCCCTTTCCCAGGCCTGCCCCCCCTTCACCCAGCTGGGAATCTATTACCCAGGTAACCTTGAAGTGCTCTTCCCTCAAGGCTGGGCCTCTGAGAGCACGTGGCCCGATGAACAGGTCAACAGGCTTCCTCTGAGTCTGTCCTCAAGACCCCCTTGTCCACTGTTGACATCCCCTTGCCTCAGGACCTGGAGAACCTGCTGTGCTTCACTCCCTGGGTTCTTCTTTTATACCATGGAGGCTGTTTTCCACCAAGCCCAGTCCCACCCCCAGGACTCAGAGGAGAAACGTGGCCTGTGGCACCAGTGGAGCCAGGGCTGGTCCCCCTCGTGCTGCCACCTTGGCAAAGCCACTTCACTTCCCTGTTCCAGGTTCTTCATCTGGACCCTGAAGATAAAGCTGTCATCAGGGCCCATTCAGCCCACAGGTCCTACCAGGCCCCTGCATCTGCAGCTGTCCCCCCTGCAGGGGATGCAGCATGAGCAGCACAGACCCCTGACCTCAGGGGCTTTTGTGAGGGGACAGTAACAGTGACCCATGTGGGAAGAAGTTCTCAGATGAAGATGAGATCTGTCCAGGCAGAAAAGGAGGCTTAGGGCTTCGGGTGTAGCTCAGTAGTAGAGCACTCGCCTAGCATGTGCAAGGTGCTGGGCTCAATCCCCAGCACTGCAAAAACAAGAGTAAGAATGCTAGCAGCCATGGTAGCTCACGCCTGTGATCCCAGAGGCTCAGGAGGCTGAAGCAAGAGGATCACAAGTTCAAAGCCTGGGCAACCTAGTGAAACTGTCTCAAAATTTTAAAAAGGCTGGGAATGTGGCTAATTGGTAGTAGCACCCCTAGGAGGAGGCTCCCCAGGTTGAGGCCCAGAGGCATCCAGGGTGACCTAAGCATAAGTGCCGCTCTCCCTGTTTTCCAGGCAGCTCTGTCTCCTGTTGAATGCAGAAAACATCTTCCACTCAATGGCGGACATCCTACTCCGGGAGGAGGATCTCAAGTTCGCCTCTACCATGGTGCACACCCTCAACACCATCCTGCTCACCTCCACCGAACTCTTCCAGCTAAGAAATCAGCTCAAGGACCTGAAGACTCTGGTACTCTACGCCCATGGGCTCTGACTCCTGGTTTAGGCCATGTGCAAACAGGCACCCAGTGTTCCCCTCAGCCTGGCCCAAGAGGAAACAGAGATGAAGTCAAGGTCTTCCCTGGTCCAGGGTAGAATGTGGAGGGTAAACAGCCAGCCATGGAGTGAGTCACACACTGCTGAGGTTTCTGCCCGCAGAAGGCTCCATGCCCTGTGCAAGGTCCATGTGCCCTGCCTGACCCACCAGCGGCCCTGACTTCTCTACTCACTGACCCCACTCCCCCTGGTAGCACAGCTCTCCTGGCTCAGGGCCCACCTGCTGGGCAAGGCCACCTCTTAGGTCAGGCTTCTGGATCAGAGACCTGTGGGGGAACTAGGGCTTAATTGTTCTCCCCCTTCTCCTTGCCCTGGCCCCTCTCCCAAAGCTGGACACATTCTGTCTCATAAAAGACCTTTACAGGGTGTCATGTTGCTGCCTGCACAGTCCTTTGGTTGAGGACACCCAAGGGCTGGTCAGAGAAAAGAGGGAGGTACTTGTGCGAGACAGGGAGAGACAGCCATCAGGCCCCTCTTATCCCAGCTGAGGGAGGGAGTAGGCTGCAGAGGCCACCAGGGGCTGGCACTGTCCTTGATGCCGGAGTTCCAGGGGTTTATTCCCCAATCTGGGCTTGGGTCACCTCCCCTCTGCTCCCGTGCCCAGCTCAGTCCCTGTGGATCCTGCCTTTACCCGCCTCCCAGGAGTCGCAAGGACATCTAAGCCCATATCTGAGGGCATCTGGGGCCAAGGAGCTCAGAATGATCCAGGCCACAGCCCTGCCTTCCTCCTGTGGTTCCTTCCATACATTTACAGAGGGCTTAAGAATTTTTCTTAGCGGTAGGGACTCCTCCAAGTGTGGGCTTCTGGGCTGGTGTCCGATGAAGGCCAAGCATACAAGGTAGGCTGCCAGAGGGGAGGAAATGGCATTGGTGACAGAGAGGAGGACCCAGCCAGCATCTCCTAGCCCCAGGGGAAGCTTCTTCTTGGCCCACACCTTCCAGCCTCCCAGACTCCAGGACCACAGAGTTCTGGGGAGGACAATGACTGTTATTTTGCCAGGGGCAGAAACGCCAGCACAAAGGGTAGGCTCGCTCCGACCAGGCCCTCATGCCACCACGTGGCTCTGTGGGGCTGGGAGGTAATGACAGGGTCTGAGGAGGAGCTGTCAGCGTTTCCTTTGTGACAGCTTGTTCCCAGCTGGGCTGCCAAACAGCTAGGGTGCTGAGTTGGCACCCTGGCTGCTCCCAAGGGCCCCCAGTTCTCAGGCCCTTCCAGGTCCTTCTCTCTGCAGGTCCACCTGGAGTGGAAGGGCAGGGCCTCCTAACTGCTGCAGCTCTCTCCCCAGGAGAGCCAGAACCTCTTCTGCTGCCTGTACCGCTCCTGGTGCCACAACCCAGTCACCACGGTGTCCCTCTGCTTCCTTACCCAGAACTACCGGCACGCCTATGACCTCATCCAGAAGTTGTATCCTTTCTCACACTTCGGTTTGGTAACCGGCTGAGAGATAGGAGGGGGCCTGCCATACTCCTGCCCCGCCCTCCCCTCTGACTCCAGGGCTGGGCCACCTGGGCCACCCCACCAGGGGCACCGTGAGGGACGTGTTGGAGAATGCTGTTTGCAGCAAACGGCCATCTCAGAGCCGCCTTCACATCACAGCTAGCACCATTTTTGTGCAGGCTGAGAGGATGGGCAAGCCCTGGGAGTAAGACCACGCCAGGCTGCCGCAGGAAAGCCTAGGTGGGGTCTTCAAGTTGAGCTCTGCTGTTGGGACCTTCCAAGGCCACAGAGCCAGGGCCTGGGAAGCTCTGCGGATGACCCAGTGAGAGAAAACAGGCTGGACAGGAAGCTTCAAGAGGGGGAGCCCGCGCACACCTCAGTACCTGCCTTACTGAAGACCTCCATGGCCACGGCCAGATTTTCTTTAATGCTGAAAAGCAAACTAACCTCTAGTACGAGCCTGAGGTGTGAACGTGGATCAGAGCTTTATTTAGGAGGCAAGAGCTAGGGGAGGAAGGAGGGACGTGAGGTGCTTCAGCGGAAGTCAGATGTGGCTGTGACTGGCTCCCTTCAGGGTGTCTTCTCTCCTTCCACAACCTGAACTTTCTCCTCTTGGCCACTTGTGTGACCTAGAGACAGGGAAGCCACTGCCCAGCTTCACTGCTTGCTAGAGCCCTGACATTGGCCTGTGGTGGGCTGTCCTCTCCGAAACATGGGCCTTTCCTGCCCAGCCCTCCCTCTGCAGACTGCAGGACCATGATAAAGAGCCTCTCCAGGCCCAGTACCACTCCTGGTGCCTCAACCCAGTCACAGGGGCAAAGAGAAGAGAGCTGCCCGAGGGGAACCCGAGCACCCACACAGGAGGAACAGACAGGCAAAGAGAATAGAAGTGTCCTTTGTATGCCAGATTATGGCTAGCAAGAGCCAGGCTCTGCCCAGGAAACCAGGGCCAAGTGGGAGGGATGCATGGAGCTCTGAGCTGGGGCTCAAGCCCCTGCGGTCCAGCCTCTGCCGGCTCTTGGGAAGGTATGGCCAGCCTGGCCCAACTCTACAGCTATGCTGGCCCACTGGGAAGACTTTTCCTTGACTGTTCACCAGTGGGGACCTGGAGGTCACAGTGGACTTCCTCACCGAGGTGGACAAACTGGTGCAGCTGATTGAGTGTCCCATCTTCACATGTAAGGCTCCTCACTCTGTCACTTTCGCTAGCTGGCCTGGAGTAGGTGGGGTGGAGCCAAGCCCAGAGACAGACTCTTGGCTTAGTCTGCGGAGGGAGGATCATCCTAGGGATGCTTCTGGAATGTCAAGAATGTAAGGCTGTGTATGACCAGGCTGAAAGGCCAGCTGGAGCAGGACTGGGGCACATGGAGTTAGAATTTGGTCCTGCCTCTCTTCAAGGTGGGTCTCATGGACATGGTCCAGTGCTTACACAAACCCACCTGAAGGTTAATATCAGGCCGTGACCCAGGGCTGTCCCCAGCCACCCATCCCTATAGCATGCTGCCCTCCGCTCTGCATTTCTATAGTTGTGGGGTACCCAGGCAACCCTGCCAGTTTTCCTCTTTGCCCAGGAGCCATGCCCTCCTCCCTGAAAGAAGAGATGGCTGTAGTAGGAGCCAACGGGCAGGAGCTGCCTGCCGAGTAACACCCCGGCTAGATGTGCTAAAGTGGCAGCGGGCGGGGTAAGCACAGCTCTTGGCACCTCAACACAGGCATTGCCTACTCCCCGAAGCAGGCCACACTCTGAGTGACACACATGTGGTAGAGAAGCCAAGGGCAGCCCTGCCAGTGGCCACCTTCCAGGCTAGGCTGCCTGGGCCCCCAGCACTCTGGCAGCACCTCTGGTCCACCCAGCCTAAGCCATCAGCCCTCATTCTGGAGCCCAAAGCAAATGCAGGGGCTCAGGGCTTCCTCTTTTCCATTCAGAGAGCCAGCTTCTCAAAGCAGCAGGTCCAGTGACCCAGGTCCTAGAACAAGAAGGAGACCTGTTGTCAGCAGAGTGCCCTGCAGCTGTGTCCCAAGTGGGCCCTGGCCTGACATCTCACTTCCTGAGGGTTCCTTGTGGCAGACCTGTATCTGAGGTCAGGTCCAGGCTAACCCTGGAGAAGCCATCAGCTTCCGCTCCTCAGCCAAGGACCTCTGTGGGCAAGGCATTGACAGCAAAGACACAAGCCTGGTTTTGACCCGCACCCATCCCAGCTGAGTGGCCTGGACCCTGCTGGTGGGTGGCTGGCTCTGACACAAGGCAGTCCCAGCTTCCCCGACTCCCAATGGAGGAAATGACTCAAAACTGTCCCTTGCTTCTCTAAAGCCATGTGGATAGTAAACAGGTTTCCTCTGTTGATCACCAGTCAACACAGAGGACTCCTATGACTCTGACAGGTGTGGGAATTCCTCCCCACCAGCAAGCAAGCAACATGAAGCAGACACCAGCCAGACATCCGACCAATCCAATTCAGTTCTGAAACTGCCTGAAGACAGCATCAGATCTCAGATTCCCAAAACTGATCCCCTTCACTTAAGATGCTAGTCACAAGCCCCAGGTTGCTTTCATTGTGCTTCTGACCAACTGGCTACAGTGCAGCCTTGGGTTCGGTTAATTTGTTGGAGCATCTCACAGAACTTGGGGAAACATGTTTGCCAGTTACTCCTAAAAGGTATTCCAAGAGACACAGATGAGGAGCCACGTGGGGTGAGGTGTAGGAAGGCTGTGCCACCCTGCAGATACTTTTGTACATCCCACTATCCAGAAGCCCTTGGAACCCAGTCCTTTGGGATTTTGTGGAGGTTTCATCACTTAGCCATGCTTGATTAAATCACTGGCCGCTAGTGATCGGCTCGACCCTTAGTCCTCTCCACTCCTGCCTTTCAGGTGATCAGCCCCATCCTAAAGCTACCAAGGGCCTGTCTGCCATCAGGTGCCTCATTAGCATTCAGAAGGAAGTGTGTGCCAGGACACTGGGATGAATACCAAATGTGTATTTCACAATATCAATAGACCAGGCCTGGGGACAATTGTCAGGTCACCATTTATGACTTCTTCCTGGAAGGACTGTGGGAGGCCTCTCTCCTACTTCCTGGCTCCAAGGACTGGCTGTTTAGTCTCCCAGCGTCCCACCAGCCTGCTTCTAGGTAGGCATGGCCACTCCAAAAAGATGTGGCTTGTCCACAGAGCGTGCCTGAGATGGAGTTCAGAGACACAGAAAGGAGAAGCCAGTGATCCTCCTGCACAGGCTCAGAGGAGAGCAGCAAAGGCCTGCTTCCAGGCCAGTCTCCCCTTTGGGCCTTAGGGAAGCTGGAACTGCCTTGGAATGCAGCAGGCCAGCGGTGGGCACCCCAGGTCAGAATGGGTGCTGGGCAGGGACCTCTGGGAGGTCGTAGCAGCCTGTTTCTGAGTTAGATATCCAGAAGCACCTCCCAGACACTGCAGGCTTGGCATGTGCCTTGCTACACACAAAAGCTTTTTCCCATCCTGCCCTCCCTTAAAGCTGTCCTAATCCACTGTCTTTCTTTCCAGCTCGCCCTATTTATAGCTCACGTGCTGGCACGTGCAGAACTGACTGGGGAATCTGTTACTCTGCAAGCCCCCGACCTCTTATTACCAGGGAGGCAGCTGAGCACAGGGACGGGGGGAACAAGCAGCAGGTTTGGGGGTCCTCAGACCAAGGGGAATGCTGAAAAGATGAGACCAGCAGGTGGACAGGTGGGAAGAGAAATGAAATCACAGAAATGGCTAAGGCACTTCCGGAGGAGGGGGCAGGCCTGGCTGGCTGTGGAGGAGCCCCTGTCTAGATCTATGCCACAACTGCTCAGCCAGCCCCTGCAGGCTGAGTCCATAGTACCCAGGGTGGCCCTCTCCCAGCCAGGCTGGGCAGGGGATCTGGGTCGCATGTATTTCAGTTTCATAGTAGCTCCAGGATCCCTCACCTCTGACCCCTGGCCTCTGCCCTCTTCCCTGCCACAGATCTGCGCCTGCAGCTGCTGGACGTGAAAAACAACCCATACCTGATCAAGGCTCTATATGGCCTGCTCATGCTGCTGCCCCAGAGCAGTGCCTTCCAGTTGCTTTCTCATCGACTCCAGTGTGTGCCCAACCCTGAGCTGCTGCAGACCGAGTGAGTGCTGGGCCAGGGGCACTGCCCTCAGCATCCATGATCGCTCCAGGGGGGAGATACACAAGGGACCGCCTAATCTCCCTGCCTTAACACCCACCCCTTTGTCACTATGGCCCCATCCACCCACAGCCACTTGCCCTTAGCCCCTAGGTCCTGCAGAGCCCCAGGCTGGGGGTTTCTGGCTGTATTCACAAGGTGAACAAGCAGCAGGGTCTTCTCCATGCGGGGGTGGGGGCACTTAGTGAGACCAGGACTCAGTCTAGGAACTGAGAGTCACCGAGTAGAAGCCCCTGGAGAAGAGCTCCAGGGTAGGGGAATGAGACAGATAGTGCAGATGGCAATCAGACCAGGAAGCCAGAGAGAGCCCAGTGGTGGGCACCCCCTTGGCCTCAGACAGCCATGCCAACCCATCTGCAACACAGACTCAGACCTGGGACACAGAGACCCCAGCATCACTGGGACCTTCCCGGCAACATACCTGGTGGGACGGGAGGCGAGGATGCACCCATGGCTACCCTGCTGGGGTCCTGCCTGCAGGAAGAGTAGGTCTCTGAGAGGCCCAGAATGGCATCCTCTGGGCAGGGGGGTCCACGCTCCCACCCTGAACCCACTGCTGGCCCTGGCCCCAGAGCCTCTTGGGCTGTGTCTATATTTGGTAACCCTTGGAGGCTTTGCCTCATCCACAGGCATTTGGCATCCGAGATGGAAAATTTCACTTGTCAGGTCACCATGGAAACAAGCAGAGCCACTGAGAAGATTTACGCTGACTGGAGCGCACCCAGCTTGCATCAGATGCCCTGTGTGTCTAGAATCCCCCTCGGCTGTGCAAGCCACTCGGCAGGCCCGGCGCCTTGCTCCAGCAAAAGACTTTGGGCATTTGCCCTTGGGGTGGACGTAGGCAGCCTTGGGGTGGACCTGCCAGACTCAGACCTTGACCAAAGTCCTTATGCCCTCAGGACCACTGGGCTGTTTCCTGCCACCTTGCCCCAGAGCCTGGCCTCCCCAGAAGCCACGTGGTTGACACCTGATAGGTCTCCCAGATGAGGCCCAKATCCTGCCTTCTCCTGCCCCTTTCTCCATACAGCAGCTTTCTAGGTGACAGGCTAGGTCTTCTGCTGCTGCCATCTCGTAGCTCAGGGTACCACCCAGGTGATCTCCAAGAGCCAACATTCAGTGTTCTGAGTGTTCCAGGGGAACAGGGAGGCAGAGGTGGGGTTGGGTTTGCATGCAGATCCCCCCGATCAGAGCACCTCCAGCCCAGGGACTTGGAGAGAGGCCCAGAAGCCACACAGCACCTCGCCAGCCTGACCTCTGCATTGCGTTTTTAATGTCCTGTAGGTGTTAGGGCTCCCAGAAGGTACCTAGGAGGGGAAGGAATAGAATGAAGGAAGGAAGAAGGAGGGAGAGCTCCTTCCTTTGACCACGGGTTTCCCCTGGGGGAATTTGCCTTCCTGGTGGCCCCTGGGCCAGGCTATAAGCCCTGCACTACCCTCAGCCACTCCAAGAACTCTGCATACTGCCTCTTGTCTTGGGAGGAGAGTGAAGGCCCTCAGTGCTCAGACCCTTCCCCATTCTCCCCAATCCAGGTACAACAAGTTTGCAGAGGGAAGCTGGAAAAAAATGAGTAGTTCTTCAAACTCTCCTATGGTCTGAGTCAAGAAAGTCTTGAGCAAAGGGGTTGAATTCTCTGATTCTGCGAGTCAGTAGATGACACAGTCCTCAACTAGGATCCCGTCTGAACTCTGGCATAGAATGTGTCTCTGTGGCCTCAGACAAGCCCCATACCCTTTTTGGAATACTGGTTTCTTCATAAGTAAATGAACATTTGTAATAAATAGGTATGTGGTTGGGAAGAGGGCTCTTCCCAGCCTTTCAGACCTTAAATTCCCAGCCATTCTTTGAAAGGGCCTGAGAAGAACCATCCAGAAGGCTGAGACAGGAGGATTGCAAGTTGAAGGCCAGCCTCAGTAACTCAGCGAATCCCTAAGCAACTTAGGAAGACCCTGTCGCAAAATAAAAAGGACTAGGAAGGTAGCTCAGTGGTAAAGCACCCCGGGTTCAACCCCCAGCACCAAAGGGTGTGGGGATGGACTGGGAAAAGAGAACATAGTCACAGGCAGTGGATGAGGAAGAGGCCTCAGAGAGAGCTGGGGGAGAGGGTTGCAGGGTTGGGCACAAAAGAAGAGCTCACACTCTGGAAAGGGGGCTAAGGACAGTCCCAGCCCAGGGTGGGGCGGGCAGCTGGCAGACAGTGTGGAGTTGCCCAACAGGCCTGTGCTGGGAACAGCTGAGGAAGTCTCTCTGCTCCTCACCCACCCATGCATTTTGCCCCCACCCCCTCCAGGCTTCCAGGCCACTCTTAGGGATCCTCAGTGAGGCAAGAGGGAACCCCTGAGAGCTGATGACAGGAGAAAGGGCCAGCTCTGGGTTCTGGAATCCTGGCTCTGTGATGCTGGCAGTGTCCCCGTCACCCAGTACCTGCAGGTGGTTGGAAACAGAACATGTAGGGCCTGAGCAGTGATCATGCCCATAACAGGCAAGGAGAAAAGCCTTGCCCTCCATGTTGAGAGGTCCTAGGCAGTGTCCTCCACTCCCAAGGGGACACACCTACCCTGCTCTCAAGACCTCAGGCCAGGAAAGGTCCACTTATCACTTGCCAAAGTCTCAGATGGCAAGGTGCAGCCCACTCCTCCCAGCCCCCTACTCCTGTCTCTTCCATGCTCATCATCCTGAGGTTTGCCTTCCATTGCCAGCATCTCATTAAGAAGCCCTCATCACCGGGTGCAATGGCACACACCTGTAATCCTAGCTGCTCAAGAGGCTGAGACAAGAGGATCACAAGTTCAAAGTCAGCCTCAGCAAAAGCACAAGGCGCTAAGCAACTCAGTGAGACCTTGTCTCTAAATAAAATACAAATTAGGGCTGGGGATGAGGCTCAGTGGTCAAGTGCCCCTAGAGATGTGGCTCATTGTTCAATCCCCAGTACCCCCCCAAAAAAGAACCCTTCATTTTAGTCCCTGCCCTGGACCTTAGGCCTCAGGTTTGCTGGGGATATTGTTGGGAGCAGCATGCAGATCCCTGCCCCCCCCATCAGATGATCCCTGTGGCCTCATTCTCCAGGTCTGCACACCTTTTCCCTGATCCAGCCTAAGTGGGTTAGGTAGCAGCTGGACACATCCTGGATTTAGAGCTTCAGTGTCCCTCAGCCTCCTCAGAAGCCCACGTTGCTGCTCTCTTGGGGCACTGGCACCTTGGCCACAGGGTGCTGTGCCAGAAAGATCCCTCCCTATTCCCAGAAAAGGCACAGGCAGCAGCAGTATGCACAGTCAGGCCACTTAGAGTGAACCCCAGCCGGGCTGCTTCAGATCTATATTGAGCCCTGACCCAGGAAGCAAGGGTTTGATACCATCCAAGAGGCTTCAGGTGGTATATCTTTCACAGAAGGGTGGGAGGAAACAGTTGTAGGGCAGGGCATGGGAGGCCATCTCCAGCTCCAGACAGTATCTCAGCTATGGGAAGTGGTCCCCTGCCCACATCCTGGTGAGCTTCAGATGCCATCAGACTCTGGCCATTGGTTTCCTGTGCTGAGCCAAGCTCATGGGTAAGGGTGTGTTGGGTGGAGCTCCATTGCAATTCCCTCAAAATGGACTGAACAGCCAGTGTGCGCAGCCTTGGACTGCTAGCCTGGCCAGCCTCACCCCAGAGGTACAGAGTTTAGACACAGCAGCCACCCTTCAGAGCTGGATGGGATCTGGGCACCAGACTAAGCTCCTAGTTGTCCTGTCTGGAGAAATTCTTATCACCCCAGTGCTCCTATGGCAATTCCCACTTACTGATGAGGAGACACTGGCATGCCCAGTTAACCAGAAAGTGGTCCTATTGAGGTGGGTCCAGGCCTCTCACTCCTGCTCGAAGCGGCTGCCTGTACACGTACACACACACACACACACACACACGCACACACACCTCTGTATTGGGGTCTCATCATGAACTCAGGACCCAGAAACTTTCTGCTTAGCTGTGCAGCCCACAGTCTTTATGAGACTTTTAGCCAAGGCCACCAGATCACAGGGCGCCATAGATCTACTTCTGCAAGCCAGTGAGGCCAAAGGAGGCAGCAGCAGAACATTGCACGAGTCACTGCTGGAGGGATGGTTAGGAATGAGACAGGTCCAAAGGGATCCCATCCCACCTGTAAGCTAAGCACCAGGCTTGAGCAGGGTAGCGGGGCTACTTACCACACTGTACAATCAGGGAGCACTGTGTGCACTGTAGCTATGCAGCCCACAACCCGTGCTGCTGTACAGAACAACAGGAGGGTGGTAGCAACAGCCATCAGCATATCTAGTGGTGAGACTAGCTCTCCTTCCTCAGGGACAAGGAGTAATTGCAGGCCTCAAGGCCCAAAAACTCAAAAACAAATGTCCTGCCAACTGAGGGCCCATCAGAGACTTCAGTGATCCCAGTTGTCCCCAGCCCTAGCCTTGCCCTAGAGAAAGGGCCAGGCTGTCCTCCCCCTTCTCCCCAGACCCTGTTCCAGGCCCCAGCTGGCTTCCTGGCTGGCTGCTAGCCCTGGCTTTCACCCCAAAGGGAGCCACTCATAAACAGGAAATGCTTCCCCATGCGATGCCTGCTCTGGGCGCCATTGCCAACCCACAGCCTGGGAGTGATATCCAAGTTCCCACCAACTGCAGAGGGGGGTGTGCCTGGGGCTCCCCAGCTTTGGGGGACTGGCTGTTAGAGGGGTTACTGGGCAGGGGGCAGGCAGACTCCCAGGGGCTGAGCCCCACCAGCCTGCAGCTCTGCCCGTTCTCACTGCCTACCACCAGGAGCCCCCATGTATTGCAGACGCTGATTCAGCCCTCCACTCCTTCTCCTCAGAGACAGTCTGAAGGCAGCCCCCAAGTCCCAGAAATGCGACTCGCCCAGCATTGACTACGCAGAGCTACTGCAGCACTTTGAGAAGGTCCAAAACCAGCATCTGGAAGTGAGGCACCAGCGGAGTGGGCGTGGGGACCACCTGGACCGGAGAGTTGTCCWCTGACACACCTGACATGGAGAAGAGCCCAACCAACCAGGGGCCCGTGAAGCACTCAGGGTCTTCAGGATACCCTCCCAAGGAGCCTGAGGACCTGCCTCAGGAGCAGGGCTGGGCCTGACCACCAGCCCAAGGCAGGGAGGGGGTGAGGCTGCAGCACCCCAGCTCCTCTCAGTGCTGTCAGCTGCACGCTGGCTTCAGACAGCTGGCTTCCCACCAGGGTAGAGCCACAGCCTCAGAGACCACCCATCCTCTGGAATCCGTCTCGGAACTTCTAATACCCCCTTGTGAAAAGAGCTTGACCTCAGCCCCGAGAGCTTTGGTCTCATGTGCCTGTGTACACATACATAAACGTGTGTGTACGTATGCATGTGCACACAGGGGTCGGCACAAAGGTCTCTACTGAATGATGTGCACCCTCCCCACTCCCGCCCCAATAAAGATATGACAGAAACCTTAACTCGAACCTGTCCACTCTTTCCCTGCTGGCACTTGTGCCCCACCTGTTACTGCAGCTGCCCCAGGCCCTCATCTGTCTAGAAGATCTGGTCTCTTGCTGGCCCCAGAGTGTGTCTGTACCTCCAGGACTGGGCCTGCACACTCACCTAACCTGAGCTATGTCCTTAGGGCCCAGCTCTCCACTTCTAGGACCCACACCTTTCTGGCCTGCCCTAGAACCCTGAACCCTGCCTTTCTTCATATCCTGATCTGACTTCCATTCTGAGTCCCTTGGGCAATGGAACATGTCCCCATCAGGCCCAAGGGAGCTGAGCCTCAGGGTTTTCTGGATGAAGGGGACTCTGCTGAACACTCTGCAGATCACTGGGGAATGGGAGGAAAGGCCAGAGCACTCCGGGGAAGAGGGACAGGTGCCCCAACACTTAGTTTGGCTGAAAGAACTTCTCCACTCCTGTAGGCCAGGGTTCACCTATCCCCAGGCTTTGGGATGCCTTGGCTTGTCCTGACCAGCTCCCAAGTGGCTCCTGGAATAAGGGCTTATGCCTGCTCTTCCAGAACCCCAGCCTAGGATACCCCATGAGTGTTTACTTGCCTGGAGTCTCTAGGAAGACAGACTGTACTTGCTGCTACTTATGGCCCAAGTACAAATATATGCCTCCCTATGCACTACCCAGGCATCAGGGATCCCCACCAGTGAGGAAGGAGGCTGTCCCAGGGCCAGGAGATAGATAATCGCCACCCCGCAAAGTCCTGGCCTCGGGCACCCCACCTGGGTGGCATCGATACCGCTTGGAAAAGAAGCCCAATAACTGGAGGGTCTGTCCCAGGAGTGAACCACCCCAAGGCGGGGGGGGGGGGGGGGGGCCCCCGTGACTCCCTGCGCCCGAGGTGCCGAGTATCCGTCTGGCGGGAGGCAACCTGGGACTCCATCCCGCCATGGTGTTCTTTGAAGACCAAGACCAAAGGCGAAAAGGTGTGATCTGGGGGCCAAGAACCAACCGCCCATCCACAGCCTTGGGGAGCTGGGCGGGCCCCACCCCAGCGCCGCCCCGACCCGCGGTGGCGCCCGCGCCCGCCGGCCCCGCTCGCCCGACCAGTCTGGCAGCGCCGGGGCTCGGATTTCAAAGCCCTGGTTTCTGGCCGTGAATGGGCCTGCGCCCGCCCGGCCTTTCCCACAGCCCCCTCCCGCGCGCCCGCCCTCCCCGCGGTCCTCCCCTCCGCCGCGCCCACGTGACGCCCGAGCCTCGGCGGCTCGGATTACCGCCGCCGCTCCAGTCCCCGCGCCGAGGCTGCGCCGCGAGCTGCCCGCGCCGCGCCCCCAGCGCCGCCCGCCTGCCCAGCCACGACATGGCCCGCGCCGCCCGCCGGCGGCCCGCGACCCCAGAGCGCGGCGCGGCCGGCCGCTGAGCGCGGCCCGGAGGCGGAGGCCCGGCGCGGCCTCGGAGCGAGCGCCCGCCGCGGCCCGGCCCCCTCCCCTGCGCGGCTCCCCGAGCCCCTGCGCGCCCCGCCGCCGCGGCCCGCCCGGCCCGAGCATGGAGACCGCAGAGAAGGAGTGCGGCGCCCTGGGTGGGCTCTTCCAGGCCATCGTCAACGACATGAAGGTAATCGGGACGCGGCGAGGCCGGCCACCCGGGTGGGCTCGCGGGTGCGGGTGCGTGTCCCCTCTGGGGACGCGTGGCGGCGGGCAGCCGTGCCCTGCTGTGACCGTGCGCGGTGGGGTCTGTGTCCTTGTCTGAGAGTGCCCTGCCTGCATCTGCCTTGCGCCCGGGTCTCCAGGTGCCTGTCTGCAGGAGTGTGGGTGCTCAAGTATTGGGGGATCCGTGCAGCGCCCCGGGTCTCCCTGCGCCGTCGCGACCCGAGCCTGCGCACACGCGGGCTCTCTGTGCCTCAGACCCCCAACCATGAATGGGGTTTAGCTAGAGGACTGACTCTTTGGCCCTTTAACCAGTCCAGGGTCTTACCGGCCTCCGCCCCCTTCCAGCACAATGCCCCCCCATCCCGACGGCCCCGGAGCCCAGACAATGCTGTCACAGCCCAAGCAGGAAAAATAATAAAGCAAAGAACCCTTAACTCCTTCCCCGCCAGAGGCCCGACCCTGCTACTGCCGCCCCAGCCCCGCCCCCCATCAGCAACCCCAGCGAGCTCCAGGACTCCAGGTCTCCCAGCTGAATGTCCCTGCATCCCAAGGATAGGCCTTTATCATCACTTTGGGAGGAGGAGGGGAGAAAATTGGGGTTGGTGGAGCAACCCCAAGGGAGCGCTTTTCCTACCCCACTACCACTCAGCGCCAACCCCCCACTCCCCATGATTACCCAAGGTCAGGCTGGAGCAGGCCACTAATTCTTGCCCAGCCCATCGAGTGGGGAAACTGAGGCCTGGCAATGGCTCAAGGTCATTAACCCTGCCCCTGATCTCAGCCTTCATTGTTTATCTGGGAGCTGGTAGGAGGGATCCTGTCCCGGAAAGAGTCCAAAGTATAATAGGACTGCCCCAGACTGAGTAGGCAGAGGGCCCAGCTCCAGTGACAGGGTGGGCCAAGAAACAGCCTTCCTGCCCTCTCCTCTGTCCCCATGGTCTAGGATGAAGAGGCAGGATTGCAGGCAGGAGGAAGAACCTGGCTCCTCACAGGCGCTCCCGAGGGCCCCTTCACAGCCCCACACACACTGGCCTAGTACACAACACAGTCTTACCAGGCCCCAGCCTGGGGAATGGTGGGGACACCACAAACCACATGCAGCCTACCCAAGAGTTCCAGGCAGGCGCTTTGGGAAGTAGAGAGTGATAGGCAGGCAAAAGGTTGGGACTCCTTTCCTGTGCTGCCAGGGAAACAGCCCCAGAGGCAGCTGCCAGATCCCTGTCCCCTAGGATGGGGACTGAAGCCACTCTGGCCTGGGACTGCGCAATTAGCAGCATGTCCATGTCTCCCCCCGCCTCCCCCACCCCCGGCCACCATAGTGCTTTCCCCCCTGGGACCTCCATCCCTGGCAGCTCCACCTGTGGGCCCCTCTGCTGGCCCTGAGCAGCCTCCACCCACCCTACAGACATCAGAGCCCTGGCAGGAAGGCCCTTTCCTGGGACTGGGCAGCCTAGACCACTTCCCCTGGCCGCTCCTGGGGCTGGTTGAGGGTGGGAGCTGCCTGCACCTCCTCCCACTGGCAGCCACACAGCAAACACTGCAGCAAGCAGCAGCTTTAGCCCAGAGGAGAGGAGCAGGACTGTGTCCCTCCCTCTTGGCCAATTGCAAGGAAGTTGGAGATGACACCAAAGGTAATGGGCCCAGATCGCAGCAAGAGGTTCAGACTGGCTGGTGGCAGGATTTGCAGATATGTGGAGTCAAAAGGGAGAGGTTTCACCAACTGTGGTGACACCATGAAAAGATTTGCCCCTAGCCATGACACATGAATGTGTTCAAGGACCCTGGCCAGGGACAGAGAAGGGGGCTGGGCCATCTGGAGGCTGATAACTAGATTTGGGGGGCAGCTTCTGACTGACTCCAAGCCTACTGACTTGCTGGGTCTGGGAGAAACTTGCCCCTTGGAGCTGCCCCCCAGTAGGCCCACAGCAGATCTCCCTCAAACCACTAGGAGGCTGGACCCGTGGCTGAAGGCAATAGCAGGAAGCCTAGAGAGCTGGAGGAAGGTCTGAGCTCAGGGGGGGAAGAGTCCTCAAGAGCTTGCCCTGCCTTCCCTGTCTCACACAGCTCAGGCCACAAGCCCACTGAATCCAGAGAGGGGCAAGAACTTGTTTGGGGTGTTAGGCCCGGGCACAACACCCTCAGAGAGCAAATGGGGCCACCACCTCACATTGGTCTGTTCAGATAATGGGGTCATAATCATTGCCTCCCCATCCAGAGTAGAGTGTCATCCGGACACACAGACCCTGGGCAGGTGGGAGGGCTCTCCTAGCAGAGACACGACTTATGTGCTCCTGGCCAACAGTGATGAGCCCTTGCTAGCTGCCCAGACCCTTTGAAGCAGTCCCTTCAGTGAGTACCCCCTGGAGTCTACACACTGACCCAGGGAGGTGCAAGTCCCTCTCCTGATTTTACTGGTGGGCAAACAGACTCAGATTGCCCCAAGGTCACCCGGAAAACCTCTGGGGCTGAAGCCTAGGTTGCTTCCTCTCATGCAGCCACAGCCGTCTGCTCGTCAGTCTCATCCTGTCCCCTTGGGCACCTCACCTCCTCACTCTGGAGCAGCCCAGATGACTGGGACAGAGCTGGGGTTTTCCCCCATCCTTTCAGTCCCTGCACCCTTGAAGCAGGATCCCTCTACCCTGACATGCAGTCATTCACCTATCAGACATGGGATCAGACTCTGATGCCACACCCTGTGGCTTTGGAAAAATCACTTCACCTTGTCTCCTCATCACTAAAAGGGGAAATAGTAGGATTCTTCTCACGGGGCTGCTGTGAAGACCGACGCACACTTTGCAAGTGCCAGCCAGGCCCTGCATAGAACACAGTGCAGTTGCTGTGACCAGGGAAGATAAACCAGGGTCTCAGAACCTGACAGGCAGGGCCTAGGCCAGGTAAAGCCTGGGGCACTGGCCACTCTGGCCCTTCCTCCTAGTCTCTGGGCTCATTCGGGAACCATGAGTGGGGGAGGGGAGAGAAGGCTAAGCCCTTGAGGACTGAAGCACCTGGGTCCATCTGCTGAGGAGAAACTAGGCCTGCCTCCCCCATGCCCTGTCCTGTCCCCCTCCCTGGGACAACCCTCTCCCTGAGACTACCCACGGACTGCTGAGAGAGCTGAGAAGGTGTTCAGGGAGGAGGGGGGCAGAACAGCTGGCGGTGGACCACCTGCACCCCAGCAGGGAGGTCTTCAAGGATATCCAGGCTGGGTGGGGTGAAGGTGGTAGGAAGGTATGCCTTTCAAAAGACCCCAAGGCATGGGTCAGCTCCTCGGGACTGCTAGGGACAACCTCCCAGGCTCCTTTTCCCTGAGCTGTATGGGGACAGCCAACCCAGGTCCCCCGTCTCTTGTCCCAGCCTCAGTGTAC